GTGCTAGGATAAGATAGTTGGCTATTTGCAGAAATATCGACCCTGGAATGAGTCATGGCAGTCTACACACATCCCACGCCCCGACGGGCTCATGACGGTGCGTATTCACTGCATTGGTCTTCTTTCAGACTAAATGCGCCAGCCTGTCTGCTATGAATCTTGCGTCACATCACATGCTCTCACCTATCTTGTAGCACGTCGTCGCGGTAGGTGGGCTTTGCATACAGACACACCTCATCTCTAGCAGAGTAAAATTTACCTACTCTATTCTTCGCAATTCATCTTGGATGAGACGACTTCCAATGTTTTGCTTAGTTGCACATGGGATGACTCGGTGTGCTCATCCTGGCATAGTTGCAGTTCTCTCTAAACGAACGCGTATAGTAATTATAAGTCGCATGAATTGCGATGGCTTGCCTGAGTCAGGATATTTCGTCCTGCGGCGTTTGGAGTGAGGATGATATTCCAGAAGAAGACGACTTCACTCTATTGGAATCAATGGAGATTGTTGTACCGTACTTAAAATAAATAACACATCCCCTGAAAATAAGCCCTAAGGTTTCTTCTTGAGGAAAAATAAATATAAGACCTTGTCTTATTTTCGGGGAAACACGGTATATGACCTCACGTGTGTGTGTGTGTGTGTGTGTGTATGTGTAGAGTGTGTAGGAAGCTTGAAGTTTGACAATAGATTTCACCAAGAGACTTGGAGTTGTATTTAAAAAGTTAAATCTAGGATATATGTAATTGCATAGAAAAGAAACTCCAAACTTCTTGGTTATCCTGGCAAAGTGGCTAGCTTTTGCTTAATTTTGATAATTTACACAAGGTGCATATATTTTTTTTGCATAAATTAGCAAGACGTTGACTTACCTATGCCTCGACTATGTCTATAAAAAGACTCTTTTACAAAGGTCACAATTTACCCGTTAAGGAAATGTGTCTTATTTTTGTCTCCCTGATTTTCTGTTATGAGAAGTAAAATAGTTACCATTTTTTGAATTGAGAGTTTCCAAAGTTAGTTAAGAAGCTTGACCCTTCATAGAGAGGCTCTGTCTTCAGCTTTATTTTTCCTCGTATCTTACTATATAACCCTCTTACTGCTCTTCCTGAGTACTTGATATCCTTTCAAATTGGTTTGTCCCAGAAATCATTTTGGCAAAATGTTTCTTTTCATGCGAATTATCTAGAATACAGAATGACCTTCATTATTTCACTCTGCTGATGTAGTCCTGACCTGAATTGACTTGCTGGTACAGCCAGCAAGACACAGTAAGCATTTCCAATCTAATCGGTCCCTTGGTGAGGACTCAAAACCCAGTTTTCTTCCAACCCAAAGTACTGCCTTCATTTACATAAAATATGAAAAAACGTTGTTTTATTACTTGGACTCCTTTTTCTTTTTTAATCTCAAATATTTATTGTTCAGGGTGAGAACACTTAAAATCTACACTCCTAGAAATTTTCAAAATATACAGGATGTTGTTATTAATTATAGTGGCTTCATTGCACAATAGATTCTTGAAATTATTCCTACTAAACTAAACTAACTTGAGCTAAAATTTTGTATCACTTTCATCAATCCTTGCCCCCATTCCCCAACCCCAATAACCACCAGTCTACTTTCTGTTTCTACAAGTTCAACTTTTTAAGATTCCACATATAAGTAAAATCAGGTGGTCTTTGTCCCTCTGTGCCTAGCTTATTTCATGTAACATAATGTCTTTCAGGTTTTTCCATGTTGTCATAAATGACAGAATTTCTTTCTTTTTAAAGGCTGAATAGCATTCCATCATGAGTGTATATACCACATATCTTTTAGGCATTCAACTGTGGCTGGACACTTTTGTTGATTATCTTGGATATTTTGAATAATGTTGCAATAACTGTGGCAATGCAAATAGCTCTTTTACATATTGATTTCATATTTTTTGATATATATATAGTAGTGAGAATTACTAGATCATATGGTAGTTCTATTTTTATTTTTTTAAGGAACTTCCATATTGTTTTCCCTCATGGCTGTACTAACATTCTCACCAGCAGTGTGCAAGGATTCCCTTTCTCCATATCCTCACCAATACTTGTTTTCTATTTTTTTTTGATAATAGCCATTCTAACAGGTGTGAGGTGGTAGCTCATTGTGTTTTAATTTGCATTTCTCTTATGACTAGTGATGTTTAATTTTTTTATATACATCTGTTGTCCATTTGTATTGTCTTCTTTTGAGAAATGCCCATTCAGGTCCTTTTCTTATTTTTAAATTGAGTTATTGTTTTCTCGCTATTGGGTTGTTTGAGTTCCTTATGTATTTTGGATATTAATGCTATTAGCTGTATGGTTTATAAATATTTTCTCCCATTCCATAGATTGTCTCTTCACTCTGTTGCCTGTTTCCTTTACTGTGCAGAAGCTTTTTAGTTCGGTGTAATTTCTTTTCTATTTTTGCTTTTGTTGCCTTTGCTTTTGGGTCATATTTAAAAAAAATCATTGCCCAACCAATGTCATGGAGATTTTCCCTGTGTTTTCTTCTAGTAGTTTTAGAGTTTCAGGTTTCATGTCTAAGTTTTTAATCCATTTTGAGTTAATTTTGTGTACGGTGTGAGATAAAGGTTTGATTTCATTCTTCTGAATGTTGATATACAGTTTCTCCAGTACCATTTATTGAAGAGACTGTCCTTTCCACATTGTGTATATTTGGCATTTTTGTGGAAAACGAGTTGACCATAAATGTGTGGACTTATTTCTGGGCTCTTTTTCATTGGTCTATATGTCTGCTTTTATGCCAATATGTCTTGGTTACCATAGCTTTATAGCATATTTTGAAATTAGATAGTGTGATGCCTTCAGTTTTGTTCTTGTTGCTCAAAATTACTTTGTCTATTTGGGTTTTTTTGTGGCTGTATATGAATTCTAGAATTGTTTTTTTCTTTTACTGTGAAAAATGCCATTAGAATTATGATAGAGATTGCATTGAATCCCTGTCACTATGGGCAGTAGGTCACTGTTGGCAGTATGAATCTTTAATGAGATTAATTCTTCCAATCCATGAACACAGAATGTTTTTCCATTTATTTGTGTTTTCTTCAATTTCCTTTATCAATGTTTTATAGTTTCCAGTTGTAGAGATCTTTCATCTCCGTGGTTGAATTTATTCCTAAGTATTTTAATTTTTTTTGTAGCTATTGTAAATGTGATTATTTTCTTTTCTTTTAGAGTAGTTTGTTAGTATTATGTAGAAAAAAAACCTGATTTCTGTGTATTGATTTTCTATCCTGTTACTTTACTCAATTCAGTTATTAGTTCTTTTTTTTAATTTCAGAATATTATGGAGGTACATATGCTTTGGTCACGCAAATTGTCTTTGCACCGCCTTAGTCAAAGCTACAAGCATGCCATCCCCCAGACGGGGTGCACCACACCCATTAGGTGTGAGTTTACCCATCCCCTCTGTTTCCCCTCCCACCTGCCCAATCCGTGACGAGTGTTACTTTCATATGTGTACATGAGTGTTGATGGGTTAGCACCACTTTGATGGTGAGTATACGTGGTGTTCGTTTTTCCGTTCTTGCTATACTTCACTTAGGAGAATGGGCTGCAGCTCCATCCAGGATAATACGAGAAATAGTTGACTATTTTTTTTTGATGACTGAGTAGTACACTCCATGGTATACACATATCGCATTTTATTAATCCACTCTGTGCAGTCAAACCTCTCTGCTAATGATGATCTGAATTTGCAGCCGCTCCCCGGCGCTAGCATCCCCGCCTCAGCTCCACCTCCGATCATCAGGCCTTGGATTCTCATGAGGATGCACAACCTACATCCTGGGCATGCGCGGTTGACAGCGGGGTTCGCGCTCCTATGAGAGTCTAATGCCGCAGCTGATCTGAGAGGAAGTGGGGAGCAGGCGGTGATGCGAGTGATGGGGAGCAGCTGTAAATGCAGATGAAGCTTCACTTGCTCCCCTGCTATTCACCTCCTGCTGTGAGGCCTGGTCCCTAACAGGCCCCAGGCCAGCACCCGCCCACAGCGAGGGCTTGGGGGCTGCAGTTCTAAAGCATCTTTCCAATACCTGGCTAAGTCCCCTGTTGTTTGTTCTGTAATATTTTAAACCAATTCCCTTTGTTGACTGTTTAGGTGATTCCTATCTTTTAAAAATTGTAGGCTGGGCGCGGTGGCTCACGCCTGTGATCCTAGCACTCTGGGAGGCCGAGGCGGGAGGATCGCTCAAGGTCAGGAGTTCGAAACCAGCCTGAGCAAGAGCGAGATCCCCTGTCTCTACTAAAAATAAAAAGAAATGAATTGGCCAACTAATATATATAGAAAAAAATTAGCCAGGCATGGTGGTGCGTGCCTGTAGTCCCAGCTACTCGGGAGGCTGAGGCAGGAGGATCGCCTGAGCCCAGGAGTTTGAGGTTGCTGTGAGCTAGGCTGACACCAGGGCACTCACTCTAGCCTGGGCAACAGAGTGAGACTCTGACTCAAAAAAAAAAAAAAAGAAATTGTAAACTGTGCAGAGATGAAAATCCCAGTAGATAAATCCATATTCACAACTATGATTATATCCTTAATCTACCTTATCTAAGGATTAATATCCTTAATCTATCCTTGATCTAAGGATTATATCCCTAATTTACTTAGGGTAAATTTCTAGAAATGGCATCACAGTGCCAAAGAATATGCACATTTAAAAACAGAATGGATACATGTTGCCCTGTATTAGTAGCTTGATTCCATTATTATACGCCCACCCCCACACACACATACTTGTGCACATACACATATGATTGTGTGTGTGCGTAAGTATGATTGCATATTGCATATACAATATCACATGCATATTGTATATGCGTGTGTATGATTGCATATCTATAATTATTCTTGCTTACAGAACATGATGTATCTTGTGAACACATTAGCCTGTCATAGCAAAGGAGTTTGCAGACCCATACTTCCGGTGTGCCCGTTCCTAAACGTCATTGTCTTCCCTTCCCAGGTGCCTGCGTGAACATCACCCACAGCCAGTGTCAGATGTTGTCCTACCACACCACGCCAGCACCGCTCGTCTCGATTGTCAGAAACATGGAGTTGGAGAAGTTCCTCAAGTTCTTCACGTACCTCCACCGCCTCGGTTGCTATCAACACATCATGCTGTTTGGCTGTAGCCTTGCTTTCCCGGAGTGCATCGTCGTTGGCGATGACAGGTATTTGGGGAGCCCAAATCATTCCGTGATAAGAGCCGGTGACAGCAGAAATGTCTGCAAGGCACAAAATCACCCCACGCGATCGACTTTCATTTTTGTTGTTATTGAAGAAGAAGCAGAAGGGGGGGAAAAAAAAACAACCCCTCATAGCCAGTTGTAATTGCTTGAGACTAGAAATGTTTTAAAAGCCTGGAATAATTTTATTTATGGGAGAAAATTATTCAGTAGGTGAGCCTGATGCTGTCGGAGCGATATTCAAGAGCTGTCCCAGTGAGGGCCTCACAGGAGGCAGGACACTGGAAAGGGGTGATAAAAGAGTTTGTTAAAGAGTCTATTTATGGAGGTGTGAGCAGGGTTAAGAGAACACATAAAAGATGGGAGGTACCAGAGTCTCAGGACAGAGAGGGTGCAGTTCTGCTGCCCAAGGCTTGAAGGGGAAAAAAAGAGCCAATAGCACTTGGAGAGAGTTGTAGCTACCGTGTTTCCCCGAAAATAAGACCTACCCATAAAATAAGCCCTAGCAGGATTTCTGAGCATTTGAGCAATAGAAGCCCTACCCCGAAAATAAGCCCCGATCTCTCCTGTGGAGCACTAGAGCTCTCACGGGGCGGATGAGAAGGGCTGCTCCTGTTCTTTCCCGCTCCGCGACGACACGCATGGGTTGTGCAGATGCGCTGCGCAGCCACGCCCGTCACTAGGGCTGATTTTCATAGCCACACCCACCACTAGGGCTGATTTTCATAGCCACGCCCATCACTAGGGCTGATTTTCACAGCCGCGCCCATCACCAGGGCTGATTTTCACAGCCGCGCCCATCACCAGGGCTGATTTTCATAGCCACACCCATCACTCGGGCTGATTTTCATAGCCACGCCCATCACTAGGGCTGATTTTCATAGCCACGCCCATCACTAGGGCTGATTTTCATAGCCACGCCCATCACTAGGCCTTATTTTCGGCGTAGGGCTTCTATTGCACACATGCTCGGACATCCTGCTAGGGCTTATTTGATGGGTAGGTCTTATTTTCGGGGAAACACGGTATCAGGTGGCTTGTCTCTGATTAACAGACATCCAAGCCTTTTGACGAAACTGCATTTCTTTAACCAATTACAAAGCAATGAGTCTTTAAACCCACCCGCAACCTGTAAGCCACTACCACCTCCCTTGTCCCCCTGAGATGTCCTGCCTTTTTGGCCAAACCGATGTACGCCCTCCATGCATCGACTTATGGTCTCGAGTGTAGTTCTTGTCTCGATGAATGCATAAAACCAAACTGTGACCCAGCTGCCATGGGCATAGTTTCTCAGGACGTCTCGAGGCCATGTGCTTTGAGCCGGTCACGCACATTGGGTTCAGAATAAACTTCTTTAAATTGTTTTACAGAGCTTGGGTCTTTTTCCATGAACAGTATAAATAATAGAGAGAAGTTTTACTAGGTCTTTCCCATGACTTGCAATTTGGGGTGGTAGTAAGGAGGCCTTTTGTGCTCTTACAGACTGTGGCAATATAATATGATAGTTGTAGTTCCTAGGGCTGCCATAACAAATGAGGTGGGTGGCTTCTACAAAAGAAGCTTATTCTCTCCAATTGCTGGAGTCTCGAAATACACATTTTTGGCAAGGCCATGCTCTCTCCTGGGGCTCCAGGGTAGAATTCAACTTCCTTCCTTTGCCAGGTTCTGGTGGTTTTAGTCGTTCCTGGACTCGTAGCTACATCATTTTCATCTCTGCCTTCATCTTCACATGGCCTCCTCTGTATGTGTGAGTCCTTTCCTCTTTTGTCTCTTGTTGGGACGCTTGTCATTTATTGGGGTGAAGGGAAAACTTCCCATCCGCCCTTAAATGGGTTGCTGAAAAATCAACTCACAACAAAGCAGATGAATAAGAGAAAAGCCGTGGAAATTTCATTGTTACCTTGGGCACAGGAAGAAAGAATCACAGAGTGCTTGCCTACTATCCCAATGAGACCAAAATACTTAAATATCTTAATTTTAAGAGGAGACAAAAGAGATGAGGAACGGAAGTCATTCGATTGAAGGGCAATAAATGATTACTAGGGAAGAGGCATAGATATTGGTGAGAATGACTAGATGGGGGGAAATCATACTGACTTGTAGATGAATCTCTTTAGAAATTAAATTAATTCGAGAGACAGGCATTATTTTTAAAATGGCTTGGACCAAGTCTGGTTGTATTCTTGATCTTCTTGCTTGCAGTAGATCTTAAGATAACAGAGAAGGGAAATTGTTCTCGATAAGTCCCTCTGGTCTTTATGGAGATAGACCGAAAACCCCTTCCAAAGCCTGCTGATCTCTGAGGGCCTTTAATCCAAAATACTCTTTATACCAAGGAATCGTATGTTGGGGTGAAGTTTCCTGCATTCCTTTACATTGGATTGAGTCCCCCCACCATATAATCCAGCTGACGATGATATCATCATCTCAAGATCCTTAATTACATCCGCAAAGACCTGCTTCCCGAATAAGGCGTCATTCACAGGTCCCAGGAGCGTTAGGGCATGGACGTGTCTTTTTTGGAGGGCCACCATCCAACACGCTGTAGCTGTTGAGGAAGCAGGCTAAGGAGCCACATGCCACAGGCTCCTCATCCACTACACGGAGATGGTGATGAGGATTAAATAATACGCAGGGCTTGCAACAGTGCCTGGTGCTAGCAGCTCCACAAACGCCAGCAACAGTTATAAAAACAAATAGTGAATTTAGAAGCACAGGTGGTACTAATGGAATACAGAGCAGGAAAACAAGTATGTCTGAGATATACTAAGTATGCTAAATATCAAAGGATTGCAAAAAGTGCAGAATACCATATGGATTAAAAGAAAATTGGGGGGAATACTTAACGGATCTTGGAGCTAGATTTGAGTTCCATTTCTGCTTCACTTTTGAACAATGTCACTTATGTCTCTTTGCTTTAACTTCTCTCTAGGCTCCTGTGTGCACTTAAACAAGACAGTAAAAGAGAGTACATTCAGCTGCCAGGTGTCTCTGAATTCATTTTGATCATCGCCCTGATTATAATTCAATCTACAAGGGCTGTGCAGAGAGCAGCCAGCCCTTCATACTATTTATGAAAAATAGTATTAACAATGGGGTTGGATACTTTCTGGACAGCAGCCCTCGTATAGAGTTGAACTGCCAGTTGTAAAATCCTAGTTAAGATGCTCATAGTTTTTCCAGTCACTTTTAGGTAAAATTTGTTTTTCCCCTGACTTGGTTCATCCTGATAAGTAGGCTAATATGAGAATTTTTTTTTTATTTTCCATTACAATATGTAACAATATCCATTATTTTATTGGTTTTCAGGTGTTGTTTGGAGACTTATTTTTTATTATAACATTTATTTTTATATTTAGTTTTGTAACTGCATTTTCAGGCCAGTTATAACACTGGAGATTGAGTTTCCAACACATGAACTTCGAGGGGCCACATTCACACCATCGCACACGTAAATGACACTCACTGGAGAGATTTCAAGGATTTTAAGAGCTGAATGCCAGGAAGTGGGGACAAAGACCAAGCGTGTATTTCATGATGTCACAGGTCCCTAACCTGTTTGTACCACTGACTTACTGCATGGCCTTGGAGAAGTCACTTAACGCCTCTGGGCCTTTGTTTTTCCACCTGTAAAAGGAAATATTCCACTAGATGATTGGTAAGTTCCTTCCAATTCCCTAATTCTGTGACACTTCATGAACTTCCTAGCGTTTATAGTTTTTCTTTGACCTAGGAGACAAAATTAAATGGATTCTTAAAGAATCATTGAATATAATTAACTTCGAAACCTCCCCCATAGTAGGAATTTAAAAGTAATCACCAAATGGATGAATGATTTAAATACAGTAATAATCTAAGAAATATATGAATGACATTAGACTTGGAGGATAAAAAATAAGAAGTTTCACATTAACAGTCCTCCCTAAGGGGGAAAAAAAAAAGGGTTTCATTACCCTACTTGGAAAAGATGAAGGAGAACTTTCGTTCACCAAGTTTTGCAGATCCCTAAGACTGCGTTGGTCTTGCACAAGTGGAATAATAATATTAATACCTTGCATTTATTATTTCTTCCATATCAAGCACTGTTCCTTGAGCATGTGTGCATTCATGTCTAATCTAATCTTCACAACTATAGCCAGAGGTAAGGATTACTATTATATGCGATTTATACATGAAAAAAATCCAGGCACAGAGATGTTAAGAATCGCTGAATGGTCACCCAGCAGGACTTTCTCTTAGGTCTTCTAAAGGCCAAAGACTGTTTCTGTGACTACCATTCCTACAGCCAGGAGCCTTTTCTATCCATGAGTACCTAAAGTAGGCATCCTCAAACTACGGCCCGAGGGCCACATGCGGGCGTTTCTGCCCGTTTGTGTTTTTTACTTCAAAATAAGGTACGTGCAGTGTGCATAGGAATTTGTTCATAGTTTTTTATAAACTATAGTCCGGCCATCCAACAGTCTAAGGGACAATGAACTGGCCCCCTGTTTAAAAAGTTTGAGGACCCCTGAACTAAAACTTGAGAAGAATGAACCTGCATTTTTTTTAATTTTTATTTTTTGAGACAGAGTCTGACTCTGTTGCCCAGGCTAGAGTGAGTGCCATGGTGTCAGCCTAGCTCACAGCAACCTCAAACTCCTGGGCTCAAGCAATCCTCCTGCCTCAGCCTCCCGAGTAGCTGGGACTACAGGCATGTGTCACCATGCCCGGCTCATTTTTTTTTCTATATATTTTTAGTTGGCCAATTAATATCTTTTTTATTTACAGTCTCGCTCTTGCTCAGGCTGGTTTCGAACTCCTGACCTCGAGCGATCCTCCAGCCTCGGCCTCCCAGAGTGCTAGGATGACAGGCGTGAGCCACTGCGCCCAGCCAAAACCTAAATTTTTGACTGGCCTGAAACTTTATCCTAAGAAAGGAGACATTGATAGTGACGCTGCTAATATATTTTAACATGTACAAAAAAACTCAAAGGGGGAATGCAAAA